AAAAACTCAAACCATTACTTTATAGTACTTCAGCACTTTGAATCTACGATTCTATGAAGCGTCAAAATACGATTTATCAATTAAACAGCATTGGTTTTACAAGCAGAAACTGCCTGAACATGATAGGAAGCCTTTTGAACAGAATGTATCATGGATTCATTTTGTCTGGTAGCTGATAAAGATTTAGAGCAGATGACTCTTCATGGGCAGGGCTCATTTCAGTTTGCGGCAATGTCATCACCTTCTGCTCCCATGCACCTAAACCAGGCACGATTAAGATTTTAATTAAAAAAATAAAATACAATAAAATACAAAAATCCTTCCAGCAAAACTTTCCCGTCCTTGCTATGTATATTGCAGCTGTATTAACCTCAGCTAGCAATAAATGAGTTGTAAACAGTGAAGACAAGCCAGCTGCAATAAAGTCAATGTGTCTGCCATATAAAGGTAAAAACATTTAAAAAACCCTCCACCAAAACCAACAAAGTGAGGAAGCAGTGAAGTATTCAGTTGTAAAACGCACTGTTAAGAATACCTGGTTTTAAACAGTTCTGTGCTTAGCTTGTCTTTCCTGTCTGACTTAGTTGCCCCTTTCCTCCTCCTTTTCACTTCCTGAGAAAAAAAAAATATTACTCTGACTTGTAGCAAGGGCTTTAGATTCAGTGCATCTCAGCTGAGACTCTTCTCGATCTCATTTGTTCCACTGTTTGACACTGACTAATCAAACAACTGAGAGAGGATGTAAGTCCAAACTCATCTACCTTTCAGATAGAAAAGGGGGGAGAGAAACAGTGAACGATGCAAATCCCAGTATGGTAGCAGAGCAAAACCCTCATATACTGTGCTGCAACCCTGAAGAAGCAGGGGAGCAACGGGATGCTTATTTAGGTGCCTGAGATGCTTCCTTTCTTTTAGTGGAGCTTATATGCCATCTGCGGGACCCACGTAACACTGCACTTCAATCAGAGAAGGGAGTTATGAGAATCGTGATTTCACACAGGAGTGTAGTTCTGGAGGCTGGGAGCTGTATTTCTGTGACATCGTCTAGGAGTTGTTTGCGGTGGGTTGCGTGCAGTTCTTTTGAGATGTCACAGAGGTGAACTGTGATGCAGGCTGGACGCCATTCCTCTGTGAAGTAGCAGAGTGCAGTACTGCGAGATGGGCAGCATTCATCTGTGACATGACAATGGATCTCAGTGTCTCAGGGTCACAGGTTTGATGCCATCCCTCTGTGAAGTCACAGAGTCCTGCACTGCCACAGGCTGGGCATTGAAACGCTCTGATCTCGCAAAGGAGCACAGAGCCTTGTGCTGGGAGATGTACCTCAGTGACATCACAGAGGAGCTGAGTGCTGCAAGGTAGGCACTGTCACCATCACACTGTGACACCAAAGAATGGCATGGTGCCGGAAGCTGTAGGAATTTCTCAGGTGATGTCACAGAGGAGTGGGGTGCTATAGACTGAAGACAGTGAAGAAATGCATCTGACAGCCTAGTTTTGCCAGGCGTGGCATGCGGCTGAATAGCAATAATCTGGGTTATACACAAGATTTTATGGGTTGGAAGGGTGAAGGAATTGTTCTCTGGCATGGACATTACAGATGCTTGACAGGCCTTTTTGATGTTCCTGTGCTTCAGCCATGGTTTAAGAGCATCAGTCTGACGCCTTGCTTGGTCTGTAGTATGTGAATCACTGGCCTGCTTTGGATTTGAATCTCAGTTCTGAACCTAGCCGGAACTGTCAGTGTTGGCTGGCTCCTGCTACTCTGCTACTTTAAGAGATGGATCTGGTCTCACCACTATGAATAATAGCTAGGGTCATGCTTAAAATCCCCCAGGTCTGTTTCTGTTAAAGTATGGCTGCAGATGAATGAACACTAGAATTGCTGCTCCATTGCCTTGCCAGCAGTCCACCCAGTAATTTAATGGTGTTAATCTCTGGAGGTTTGACCTCTTTCCCCCATATATGCAAGACAGATACATCATGCATATTTACTGATACAAGCCTAAAGGCTTTAACAAACCTGAAAGGTTATCAGAAAAATTTATTTCCATAAATTAAAAACACACAAAAGAAACAGCAAAATTTTAGATTCACACAATATTGAACAGAAACAAAATGCCAAGAGCATGATGGAGGCTAATGGCACAAGTGTACAAATCCTCAATGAGCTATTTGTTAACTTTATAGCATCATATAGACTTTTAATCCACAGTCACCATCCATATTCTAGAAGAGCACCTGGAACATAATACACCAAAGACCCATCTCAAATCAAATACAACAAATGAGAACTGCTTGCAGAAAATCATATCCAGCAAGCATAAGAATTAAAATGTATGCAGCCACAAGGTCAGCCAGGCAAATGCTGCAACAAACATTAGGCAGCCTTAGCTGCTCCTGTCATAATATGATGAAAATAAGTTTTATTTTTTTGAAATTTTTGTTAAGTGATCTTTCTACCTCACATAATCAGCAAATTTAGCAGAGAGCTGTCTGGCTCTGCAAAACCTACTACTAAGAGACAGTACATGGCAAAAGCTTTGCAGTTCTTTGCAAGCTGCTCTAAGTCATCATTCAGCGAGCAATATGTATAATGTCTTTCCATGATGATACAAAAAAAAATCCTAGCTGGAGTGGGTTCACTTTATGAAAAGGCCAGTGTACATATACTTCATCTACAGACAGATGCAAGACTCCAAAAGATGCATCCGCTATACTTTTTTCTTTCAGTTATCTGGAACAGAAGCAGCTCAGAGTGGCAAATACCTAGCTTTTGCACAGTCATAACTCCTAGTCTATGAGCAGCAGCCACAAGGAACAAGGCTGTTCCACAAGTGCTGTAAACAGGAACAGAGGTGGGAAAGGAAAAAAGTGCACAAGCATGACTGACATCCGTACGCCGAATGGAGGGAGAGCTGCTTTGTCTCAGTTAGCTTACGTGTTCATCATCATACAAATACTAAACCAAAACAGAATAATGCTGTATATTTGGGTTTCCACAAACTAAGGTCCAGGACAAGCTAGGCAACTGCAACATCATTTTGTAACTCCTCCGATTTTTGTAACATTAGAGAATTGAGTGTTTTCTTTGCTCTGCTATGAAATGTTATTTTAAAGCACACTTCCCTTCAAAGCAGGGAAGCAGACAACAAAAACAACCCAAAACAAAACAAAACAAAACAACCCAAAGGAAAAACCCAACACACTGCATATTTTGAAGCATGTTAGAGGTCTGAACTTTGCCTGGACCCAAGTTTCTTCCCTCCCCACCCGTTATCTGTGTTTCCTTAAAAACCCCAGTATGGTTATACCTCAATTGTGTCACAGCACTAGAAGCCTTCCATATTAATAGAAGGTGAATGAATGCTGTGTGACAATCTCACTCTATAGCATAAAACCATAAAAATATATATCTCACTCTTACTACAGCTTCCAATCAATCAGTCAATAATTGGGCTAATAAACCAGTATAGGGAAAGTTTAAAATATTTTTTGAAAGGCAGTTGACTTTTTAAAAGCGATTTCTTTTTATAAAAATAGAGGATCAATTAAAATGTTCTACAGCAGCCCATATAGGTTAACCAGACCTTACTGCCAAAACAGTATGTCAATGTGTTCCAAGTTTCCCTGCCTTCTTATTTTCAACACTTCAACAAATTGCTTGTTAATTTTTAGTTTTCTGTTTGGTCAGTAACAGAAGTGGCAGAGCAACAGAAGAAAATGATGGTATTTTCAGTCGATTAAAAATACCCACCCACTAGATATTTGCTCATTTTGAAGGTAAATAGAAACTCTATTATATGTGTAGGTTAAGAACAAAGTGCAAGTGTCAAGTGACAAATGAAAGAAAGAACAGACTAATTAAATTTGAGCATCCCAGCAATGACAACTTTGCTTGAATAACTTCTATAGGCACTAAAGGACAGAAATTTCCTGAACTGCAGCTAGCATTCATTTTGAATTATGCTTCAAGTAAGTTTAACAGAAGTTATCTCAGAAGGGAGCTCTCTTCCCTCAAAAGGTATAGCTGGGAAATTGCCCAGTGCAGCATCAGATAATTAGAAATGGCCTTACATAATGGGGAAAAAAATCCACATTCCAGGAGGCTCTTTAAACAACACCATTATGTGCAACAGTGCTGTACAGAGAATATCGAATTCTGAGATCTATGAATTGTACATCTCAAATGGTAAAAAAACATTTTTACTTGTTGGCATTAAAATCAAGTTGATATTTTTACTGGACTTAAAATCACTTAAATATTCCTCTCAAAGATTTTGCTGGTGTTCCCTGCATGCAGCAGCTCAGCTCAGCCTCTAATTATGTATCCTGCAGCTTAACACCCTTGTGGGCCAATTACCTTTCCTCTGGAGGAGAGGCTTGCATCAGCCAAGTACATAAAAACTCTACTATTTGGGAAAAATTAGTACTGGGCACAATTTTTTCTTAAAGTATTACCTCTTTTTGAGCTCAGTCCTGTTAAAAGCTGTCCTCACGCAGCAAAAAAAGAAACATGGACAAAGTGCAAGTTATTTAAAATCTAGTTATGTGGGGCTTCTGCTGGCTGAAGCCAGGAAGGGCACAGAAACTCAGAAGGAACCTCCTAAGTAAACAGAAGGAAGAAACAATTGAAAGTAAACCCAGACAGCTACTTTTAATTATTAAAAAGTTAGTGGTATATCAAGAGCGTGTTTGCTAGAATTCATCTTCATCAAACGCTGTCTCTCTTCTGTCAGGTTATCCAGAACAGCCATTACAGTAACAACAGCAGACTCAAATGTGCAAATGATCTGGAGTACAGAGGTCTAGGATCACTGAAGGCGCACTACTTCCTCCTTTACACTCTTACTCTACCCTCAAAAGGTGTTTAGACATAATTAAACAATAGCAGTAATTTCCAGAGGTTGGGGAAGGAATGGTAAATTGTATGTGGCTGTGTTACACTCAAAGAGGGACCCAAAAGAATCCCTCTGATAGCAATTTAAAAAAAAACAAATAGCACCTTAAAGAGGGCCACAGCCAAAATCTAATAATCAGATATTAGAATAGACTGGCAGAGTAATGTATGCAGAAGTCAGCAGATCTCTCCCAACAGGACTAGAACGCTGAAGGAGCCAACTGGACCATTTTCAGTTAAGTGGCTCCCTCAGATGCTAGAGGCCTGCTCCTGCTCATCCTCCTTTGCAAAAAATTCTTCAAGGTCCGTTAGCTTCTGAGTCAGAAGAACATCTAACTCTGCGCTCTGTAGTGCGGCTTTTTTTGCTCGGGTGAAACTACCCACTGCTTTGATTTTGCCTCGCGTCTTCCTTTTCCGGGGAAGAGTAAAATCCTGAAACTCTAGAATCCGCTTTCTCTTCTGCTGGCTGACAGAGATCAAGTGTCCATTTTTCTCCTTGGGCTCTTCAAAGATTGTTTCCAAGCTCCTGGTAAAAGCAAAGGAAAGAACTCATGAATACTCAAGGAAGAAGTTAACCCCCTTACAAGGCCAGGGAGACTGGTGGATTTTATAACTGGGGTAAATACACTAACTGATACACTTTTACAGTCCCTCCACACCTCTTGTAGAAGGTGTAAGCTGTAGAACAGTATACATCACAAGTGCACACTAATGCTTGCTAAATTGGTTCATAGACATTTGTGTTGAGTGTCTTTCTGTGTTTCAGTTCAAAAGCACTATTATAGAACCTTGATCTTATAGAATAAACACATTTGAACATTAAATAATGTAGCAATCTTGATAATCATGTTATACTTGATGACAGTATTTCAAAGAATATTTAGTTCCCTTTGAATTTTGAAAAATTTAAGTACTGTGCTTGGATGGAGGCCGTAATGAATGTGTAGGTGAAAAAATACACAAATCCATTCTTAAACAGCTGCAAATTCTTAGTTCAGACTCTGTTTCCTTGCTTTCCATCCAAATACTAAAAAAGACTATTTTTAGTTAACCTTCTCTACCATTTTAAACTAAAGCAATTTAAAAAATTTATCTCCCTCTTAGCTTTCAGACACCTTTAATCTCTTCTTTCTCTCTTTCTCTGCCTATGTAATTTACATTTGTCTTAGTTTTCTCATCAGGAAGCAGAACCAACCTGGCTGGAGGAGGGGACTTATAGTTCTTGTTTGTGTAAATTTCTTCTAAACTAAATTCTTTCTTCTTAAGTCTGAAAAAGCAATGAAAAAAATAATCAAGAAAGAATTTCAAAACAAGCAGATTTACTAGACACAAGTATAGTGTTGAAGCACAGAACGCAAACTAATTATGCTTTAACTTAAAATGCAGATTTAGATTCTAATTTGGGATAGAGAGGAATGAAAAATGAGGTTGTTAAGTACCTCATTTGATACCGTGCTTTTATAAGGTCTGGGTCGAGACTTGCAATTTCTGCAGAGGTCAATGGCCATTCTAGCATTCTATGATGTCCTGAAGTAATAATGCTTAAAAGAAGAAAGGGAAATCCCTTCACAGGTTGCTTTTTGGTGGAAGCTAAGGAAAGACAGTTTAGCAGATAAACATTTCACCTCTTGAGACGATGTTAAAAGTGAGTTACTGACAATTAGCAAGCTGATCTCTGCAGAAATGCATTCCTTTGTCAGAGCTGGCACTTCTCTTTAAGAGAGAAGTGAACAAAATACTAGATGACTGACTGGAAAAGCTTTATCAGTATCTGGCACTGTGATTACCCACATTCACACTGAACTCACGTTTCCCACATCATATACCACAAAGAAGGGACTGTGATGAACTCCAACATAATTTGCATCAACAGAACTTCCTAACAGATCACTTCATCTCACTGTACATTGCAGAATGACTTATTTTCAATGTACGTTTATCAACATGAACTTCTTTCTTCTTTAGAAAATCGTTCTGTTGAAATGATCATTTTGCCTAAAGCCCAGTCAGTAGTTCATATCTAATAGCCCTTAATTTATGCTTTGTCTCTTTAAAAAAGTTACGTTCAAAGACCAATTTCTTAATCTTCAGTCTTCTATACAGTTGATACAGCTGGGTCAATCTTTTCTTATGAAGGAAGCCAACTGATCAGACATCACTCGACTGGGAATGTACAAAATACTGGTGGTAAGAAAAGGATTTATTGAAATGATTGCATTACAATGAAGGAAATGTAAGCAACAGAAGCTGGTATGAGTCCATTTACAAGATACTGCTCACCTTTTTGGTTTGGGTAGTCCCATTGGAGTAAGGTTGGGGTCTGGCTTGGGAACAGTTTTCCTGATTCGGATCTGTGAGACTTTCTTTGGCCTCTTTTCTGGCTCAGTCTTAAGAAAGAAAAAAGTTAAAATGACGATGCTAGTCAACAGAATTTCCTTTTATGTTGAGAATATATTATCCACAGAATAAACATTCATCTTTGTTTTGCCACCCTCTTTCTCCTTGAGCAAAAGAAAGCAGCAGCACAGACTAGCACCAACAGCCTGTTTTCTCTCCCCATCTTTAACAGTCAGTAGATAATATTCAGCAGCAGCAGCTTCAAGCTGGGGAACAAAGAGTCTGAGATACCCAAAATCTAAAATGAACTCACTTTCTTCAGTTCTGTGTCATCTTGGGAACTAAGACAGGCCGGAACAGAAGCATCAGCTTCATCAAGGGCATGGACCTGGAGCTCAGATGCTGAAAGCCTGGGGGTAGATGGCAATAATTCTGGAAGTGAGCAAGACTTTGGTAATGGAAGAGGGAATGACGTTTCCAGACTGCAACAGAGGAGAAAGGGAACACATGTAGATTAGTACCCAATTTATGTTGCAACAGAATTCCATGCTCTCGGGTGATGTTCCCAGATTGAACACAATGGGCACAAAAAACAATGCAATTCACAGAAACCGCTTGAGCGAACAATTTCTCCGGTACATACATGCAGACAAAACGTGCTGCAGCCTGCGTTGATACTGAAGCAAGCTATACTGCCACAGTATTAGAACATGTATTTTTAAACCCACTGGTCTCCTTTTTCATATAGTTAAACAGTTTACAGCTCTATTTAGTAACTACTGATAGAAAGTGATTAATCCTCCTTTTCTGCTAGCAAACTTCTTTGACACAGCTATTAATTTAATACTTTTTGTTTGCAGATGAATTTAAAAGATAGCTTTTATATCTGCCATCCCAACACTGAAAAAGAATAGAAGAAAGTCGCAGCACCAAACATCCAGTTGCTCAGAAAGAAAGAACATCTATCCAAGTAAGGAAACAGACTTCTATAGTTTCACATATTCATTTCATAAGAAGTGGCACAACATGGTTGAAAGTACCAGAATTGTTCTGTGCAATGGCCTACATGGTATTTGCATTAACTCCCCTCCACACTTCTCCATTACATGATCCAGTCTTCTTCAATCAGAAACCTATTCTTGAAGTGAACTGCCAAAAGATGAAAACCACAATGACATAAGCAATGCCTTTCTGAGAAAGCTTATGATCCCACTACTCAGAATAAATACTGAAGTCCAAGAGACTCACCAAATCTCATGCCCTGCAGTCTGTAGTGCTTCCATATTCTGTACAGGTAAGTGCGGCAACATGGCACAGCTGGTTCAAAAGAAGAATTAAAAAAAACAAAAACAGAGAGACAGAAATTAGGTCTACCCTATAAAAAAGATGAGGGAAAAATTTTAGTATAAACTGGACTGTAAGACAAAAATGCTAATATCAGGAATGAGAATGAAAGACTAAAACGATACAAAAGCAAGCCCCATTTGCATTTAGTCCACTAAATTCCACTGACAGCTTGTTCAGGAAATAGTCCCACTTTCACTTGAAAATGGTAGTGATGAAAAAATGAGATAAAAGTACAGAAAGAGAGGGAGACAGTATTAGCCTGAAAGTTGTAATAAAATTTCTATGAAAGTCTGTATTTCTCATTCAAAACCCTCAGTTTTTAAAATAAAGCAACCAAAAACCTTGAAGGATTTGGCTACTAAATAAACAAGTGCACAGTGGCAACAGTAACAAAAGAAAGGATTTCTGTAAGATTAACTCCCTGTTGTCTCTAACTTCCAGTCTTACTTGAATATTCTTAATCAATTGGAATAACCAGAGGCTTTTCCATGAGGGCTGGTAATTACCATAATTCTGTGGCATAAGTCAGCACAGCAGCTCTAAGTCCTTTAATATTAAGTTTCATTTTTGTGCCCACACTATTAATAGAGGAAAAAAACCAAACAGTTGGAACAGCTTTTATTACATTAAACAACAAATCTTGTACTTGCTGTTCTCTCAAACTGACAGCTAAATGTACTTCACTGTTCTAAAACAAAGAAGTTACAGCCAGACTGGAATGCTACACAATAAAAGAAAACCAACCATGCTGGCAGTACAGATAGGTCCAAATAGAAGTCAGAAAGACCCATTTCTTGTAGTTGTCATTTAATAACAGAACTATAAGGTTTTGTTTCTCTCAATGTTCCCCTCACTATCCCAGTACTACTAGAGCCTGCATCAATAGTGCATCAGTCCTCCGTGCTAGAGGCAGATCTTACTGTTTTACACAATAACAATATAACGAAGTTACAGAGAAAGAGAAAAACCACTTCAGAAATTTTGAATCCAAATGAGCATTAATTAGAAACTATTTCACTTAAAGAATGTTTTATTACTGGCAGTGACAGAAGTGACAGAAGAACATTCACAGACAGGAGAACTACTCTAGTTCCTTGTTTTCCTGGTTATTAAAAACACTAACAATGAATGAAAGAATTTAAAGAGGACAAATCTCTTTCAAAAGAAAATGCCTTGCAGTGAACTTGAACCCCCTTTTATTTTTTTCTGATTTTTAACTTTCTTAATCAAAAGAGACAAAGATTTTTATCATACTGGAAGCCAAAAATGCTTTTATACTGCACCAAACACACTTCTTGTATAGTACTGTTTATATACCCAACACTTATTTCATAGCAGATTTTTGAGTACACATCAATTTAAGAGCCATTTACTGAATTACCCATTTGTCATTGTTCCTGTTAATGTCTTTAAAAAAGAATTATTAGCTGGCAAGAACAGGCTATCAAACTTCAGCAGAATGGAATCTAAAATGGTGTTAAATATTTAAAATGTTTACAATACTTTAAATATTTAAATCTTTACATTATTTTACAGCCAAGTTTTTAATATTAATTTTTGCTTAACTGTTTTAGGAATGGAATTTACTTGCTGCACTTCTTTAAACTTATGCAAACATTCTTTTCAACTCGCTGCACGCTACAATAACTTCACTTTAAAGAAAGTATGAGTGAGGCAGAAGCGTTAAGGCTACCTCACGCACATATTTGTAAGATACTTTCGAGAAAAGACAAACTGAGTTTTAGACTATTTTAACTTTGGGTTAATTTTCACTTGAAGTGATAAGGTTTGATTTGGTTCCTCTCTCATTCTTAGCAAAACGTCTGGTTTTCAAATTACCTTTTATATCAAGGAATTAAATCCTTCTTGAGCTAACTGGGTAAGTTGTAACAAGCTGCCTAGGAGGCTGTAGACTTAGGTATGGGAGAAAACATGAAAACATAAGTTATCTCTGATCTCCCAGTCCAAGGATAACATGCCTCAACAATAAAAAAATAAAAATCAAGTTCACCTCATACACAGAAGGAAGTTTTTAAAAGTAAGGTGTTTGTTTTGTTTTTAAATGGCAGCAATGCCTTATTTCCAAGTTTAGTGCTCAAACTGTAGTTTACTGGAATGATTACTTCCTGAGTTCTAATCTGTACACTAGCAAATTCAGCCAGACATACTGGCTGGTATGGAATGAGAAAGAATGCAGGTCCAATAGAGTGTCCTGCAAAGCTGTCTCTATGCCATTATTCAACTTCATTCTTTTAGTGCAGACAACTGCCAGAATGAAGCTCACTCACACCTTTGGTAGACACGAGAATTTAAACTAACAAGTGATGCACTTAAACTTTTAGGTATGTTCACCATTTACACAAAGCAAAATGTAGCATTAGCTATCTGACAAGATTTTTGGTTATACGTATGTCAAGCTATTAAAGCTTTTTATTTTAATTAAGCTATTAAAATAAGCCAAATTCAACAGTTCTCTAGAGGCTGCCATATTAAGCAAAAGAATTACAGTGCTTATGAGCCTATACTGTGTCCAGGAATCTCAAGACTAAAATCAGAACTAAACTGCCCCATGTCAATGAGGCATAAAGGGCAAAATCTTTGCTCAAGAGCATGCAAAAATCCTTCACAGAGCTAGGAGCCTCTTCTCTCATTCTGTTTCTTAGTAAAAAGATCTCAAATGCCGATAGCAAAGTTAAATTAAATATGCAGAGAATATTTCAGTCCTCTTTCCACTCATAACGAGAATGACACACATGAAAATTCATTACCAACCTGAACTGGAGCTACAGTTGCTTGTGCCAACAATACGTTGGGTACATACCATCAAAAGGCATAGCATACATGAAGAGGTTTCAATTAGCATAGAACAGCCATAGAACACAATTAAAAATTTATCTGAATGCCACCTCCCGCCCCTTAGGATTCTTCCTAATCTGATATTGAGCATTTTACAATGCTTCCAAGTGGCACTTGTGGCTCAGACCTCTGAAAAAAACTTTCCTACCTCAGAAATCCAGTTGTTCTGCAGTCACTCTGAATAGACCTAATGAAGTAGCTCACCTTTCTGCATTATATATTCTGATGCATGGTGTGTATATTTTGCAAGGGAGAAGAAAATAGAGTTAGCCATTCTGCCAAAACAGGATAGTATTAGAGGTGAAGGCAAATATATTTAAATTCAGCTAACAGACTGTTCCATAGGAAAGAATCTTCCATGTTGAGCCTTTTTTGGAGCACAATATGTAGATTTGGAACCGGGGAAACTGATCCTTCAACACAAGCTGCAATTACCCTCTCCCTCCCAAAAAGGAGAAAGTACATACCCTATACATATTTAATCTCAGAAATAAGTTGATGGGTTTTACCTGTTCTCGATGCCCACACTTGGCTGCCACGTGCAGTGACTGGAATGGAGAGGAGTGATTTCAGAGGGCCAGGCAGAAGGACCATGCTGACTCCATATGGATAATGCCCTGCCCAATGAGTACGGCAGTGAAGAGACGAAGTCATCTGATACAGAAGTTGAATGCCTTGCCCCTTTCAAACCCTGTGTGAATTGTGATATAAATAGTCTCTGGATGGTAGGAATGTGACTGGTTAAGTTTCTTCTTCTTGTCCAAATCCTGTAACATCCAGGGGAAGAAAGTGCTAACACTGTGTGAAGGCCAAGCATGGAGCAACCTCCTCTTCTTTCAGCTATGGCATTTCTTCCACGGTCAGGATGAAGGGCAACAGCCCTTGGGGTTGTTACAGGGAGAGAGGAATGCAGTTCATTATTTAGACTGGAATCTTTCTTGAAAGCTGTTGTATCTGAACAGCTTTGAGACAGGAGAAAAGAGAAAGTCCACTTCGAAGGTGGTGCTGGCATTTCTCCCAAATCTGGTCTGTGACATACAGAGTGCTGGGACATAATCCCTCTAAGGTCTGTCACAGGACTGGAGTCCAATTTTATGTGAAAAGAAATTGGGAAAACTGGGGTATCCAGGAAAGAGGTTGGAGGTTTGTGGCTCAAGTCTGAAGTAAGTATTTTGGTAGATTCTACAGGATAAAGTGCCAAAGGCCGAAAGCTGAACATCTTGGTGCACCAACTGTCAGCCCAGCGTGAGTGTAAGCTCCTGTTAATGCAAGAAAAGGCTTCCAATAGATTTTTAGATCTGCGCTGGCTGTACCTCTCACCCATTGGAAGAATTTCAGAAGAATATGGCAGAGGTTCTAAGCTACGGATGCTTTTGGCAGGTGCCAGGAGTTTGCTAGCCATTACAGACAGCTTGCTCAACAATGCTGGTTCTTTGGTACATTTTCTACATTTCAAGCTGTTCAACAAACTGCACCTCTTGGCCCTCTGCCGTGGCATGTGCACAAATCTCATGGCTGTTTCCGTTTCCACTGTCGGTGGTTTACATGGAAAGTATAAAGATTTGAGAAGTATGTTTTCCTGCTTAGGGAATATTTCTGGGGGAACCTCACAAGAAGGTGAATTTTTATTTTTTTTGCTTTTTCTTACAGTTTTTAGCTGATACGATGTGGGAACTTTTTTGCATGTCCTTCCAGGCTGTCTTTTTAATGGAAGAGGTTCTCTTAGTTCATCTGTAGTCCCAAAGGCACCAGAGATTCCATCAGACCTTAAATTAAGGTTTAGGTTTTCCATTTCTGAATCCTGAGTCTTCAAAGCCTGTGAACTAATAGTATTTGTGGTAATCTTTGGCCTTTTGACTTCTTGTAAAGTGCTACATAGTTTATTTTCACTGCTTCTGACAGCAAAATTATCTTCTGAAGGACCTTCGAACGTTGTGTTTCTTAATGTCACCAACTCAGCTGAAGAGCTGTGCAAGAGTTCAGAACTGTGCAACACACTTGGTTGCAGTGTGATTTTTGCTTTCTCTTGATACTCTGACTTCTGTTCTTGTTGTGTCTTGTCTGGCAGATGCATTTCCATCTTCTTATACTTCTCTTGTTTAAGTACCTGACATTTCTCTATTTGATCAAGTCTCTCCAAACCTAAAGCCTCATTTCCTTTGCAAACTGAATGAGTTGGTTGTGTGTCCTGGCCTTCTGCAGTCTCCTTTACATTATCTTTGCTTTGTGCATTTAATTGGTAAGGCACACATACTTCACTGCAAACTGCAGAATTTGGGTAGGATTCTTTGCAACTGTTTGCTAGTACACTCATACACGGATAAAACACGCGTGTTGTATTACACCGCAAATCTGGTGACGTTTCTGTGTCAGACGCATCTTCAGCTTGACAATCACGCACAGTTTCTAAAAGCAGACTGGTACCTGCTAAGTCTGTGAGCTTTGTATCATTTTTACCTTCTTCTGAAAGATTATTTAGGTTAGATATTGGGATTTCTTCCAAAACCTTTCCATAAGTCTCAGTGCTGAGATGGACTATTTTGCTACCAGGCTCTTCTGAATGTTCTAACAAGGCCCGTAGACAATCTTCTCCATCAAGGAAAGAATGTTTGGGCAACTTTTTTCTAAGGGTTACTTCTCTTCCCACCTTCTGTTCAACACGTGTGTTCCTGAACTCCTGTCCAGAGTGAGTACTTTTTGGTAAGGCCACATCCATGTCTTTTACAGTTAACACGCTATGCCCCTCATTTCTCAGACTTTCTTTGCTGTGTGCACAAACTCTTGAGCTATTTGCACTGTTCAGAAAGCTAGCTGCCATTTCATTCTCTGAAGATGAAATCTCAGCATTGCTGGTTTCACTTTTAACAGACTTGGTTACAGAAAGAGGTTTTGTTACTGAAGAATCTTGGCTAAAAACTTCAGCTGAAGACAAACTCTGATTAGCTACTTGTGTACTCTCGGATGCCATACACAGCTTTTCTTTCTCAGACATTCCCAAATTCAGAGCTGATGACGTTTCCGAATCCACCTGAGTCTTAAGAAAAGATTCTTCGATGTCAAACTTTCCAAAATGCAATGGACCAACACCCTTTTGAGCATCAGTATTTTTACCAGGCTCAAACGTTAACTGTGGGCAAGAGTTATTTGAGATAGATTTTATTCTCAGACTTTTTTTGTTTTCTGTCTCTGAAAGCACATTCCTATTTTCTGGCTTATGTGACAGACTCCCATGAATTGATGAGAAGGGCAAAAATTGGGCACTAACTGTATTTTCCTGGTCCTCCACCAACCACTTCATCTTTGGCAAAGACTGCTGCATTTTGTTTCCTGCAGACACAAGCTCTGCTTTCTCTTTTGCACATTCGATAAAGCAAGCATGCTGTGAGCAATGTGATTTGCTATCAGAAAAGCTTTCTTCAACAGTTCTCTCATCTTCTCTTTCACATCCATTCTTGTGTTCTTTCAGTTTGATTGTCTTCTCTTCAATTCTATCACTGATGATGCCCACGTATCCTGAAGAGTCCTCATTTCTTACACCATTCAGAGTCTCCAAATCCACTTCATTATGTTTTAGAGTTCCTTGAAAACGGTCTTCGCTAGCACATATATGAGCTAACAGAGAAAGGTCATCACCTGTTTTTAACAGGACCTCTTCACTTTGACTAAAGCCAATTGCTACTTTCGTTTCTGCCAAGGAAGTAGTAGCCCTTGTTTGTAAGTCAGTGTTTGGCTGTCTGTTTAAACTTTCCAAATATCGCTTTCTGCCTGGAACTGGCCCATCAAACTCACTCTGACATGCAAGACACTGCTTTTCCCTGGGATTAAGGGTCTTTTCTCTTTGGCTAACATGTTGTGTTTGAATATTCATGTTGCTGAGTATCGGACACGTATCACAGCCTGAAGCACTACACTCAGAGGGATTAGCTGTGAGCGATGACACTTCTTCCTTCTCACGTGTGCCTCGTTCTCGCTTCTTTGGGTCTAATGGAGAGTTGCAAAATCCAGAACTGTGAATGCAGGGTTTTTCATTCAAATATCTGGTTAATAGCTGTTTACTAGTCTTACTTATCTGAGTGCCTTCAGGAGCCTTTGAAGAATCCATAGTTCTTATTTTACCAAATTCATCTGCCTGGAGAGCATACAAGCCGATTTGTTCTCTTATCTCATCGTTGCTACAAACAATTTTGCTGCTTTCTGTTACTTTACTAAGATCAAATCGTTTCACAACCTCCATATTCTTATTTGAAATCTCATCTCTTACCAAGGTAGCAGTAGACTTCTCTGCAGTGTAAGCTGAGCAAAACATGTTTTTTGCTGTGGAAATGTCATTTATCCCATGCAGATCTACACCTCTGTTGCCCCAGCCATCTTCACAAGGAAGAAATCCACATGCCAAAGGGAACTGTGCTTCTGGAAATACTACTGCCGTTTTACTATTATATCCAGCTGAAGTGTCTTCCTCCAAATTTTCATTTTCTTCAATCTTATCAATATTCACGTTAAAAGAATGACTGTTCAGGAGAACATCACCTACACACGTACTCCCTGATAAAATACAGGAAGTGCTGGCAGCTGTACAGTGGTCTTCCATACTCTGATTATTACAATTCCATGCATCACTATGTTCATTTTCTAAACCAGTGACCACATTCTCTACATTTCCTCTTGAAGACTTCATGTTGTTTTGGGAATTTTTTCTTGTCATATTAGGGTTATCCAAAGTCCTGGAACTTACTGAAGACTTCAGTTTGTCTTTATAAGGCAAAATTTCAGCCACTTGTTCCCCTCTTGTCCCAGAATCAATAACTGATTTTTCTCCAGATAGATTATCCCGAGTCTTGTCCCCACTTGAAACTTCATTAGCAGTGCAAGGAAGATAGACATTACAATCAGGTTCTCTTGATTTTTGTGCAACAGGAGGTAGAGTTACATTTAGTGTATAAATCAAATTAGTTTCTTTGCTAGTGGACAAACTGTAATTACTGTTAGCTTCTGTTGCTTCAGCTAAACTGCCAGCCAACTCATCTAATGTTGTATCATTCTCAGATTGCTTTTCAAGCGGTTGTGCCTCAGGTGAATATTTTTCTAGCTTGGTATGAAGATCCACACAGCTATAGCTACTTGGAGGAAAAACTGTACTGAAGGTATTATAAAAGCATACACCTGTTTGTCCAATTTCATGAGAACCAAAGTTGCTCGTTTCCATCAACAAACTGTTTTCTTTCATATCATCCTTGCATAGATCACTGATAGAGAATTGCCACTGGTCCTCTTTCAGCTTATCACCTTCCGATGGGACCATTTTAATTTCTTCTTTTGAGAACTCCTCAGGAGATGAAGCAACAGAACTCAAAACTGAAGAATGACAATGCTCAGAATAAGCACCCTCTTGAGCTTCAGAGCAGGTAGCAACTTCAACGTTATCGCCCACAGTGATTTTCCTCCGGACTTCAGCAGCCTCTTCAAATTCAGAGCTGTATGATTTACCCATACTAGCACTTACTTCCTTAGGACCAATTTTAGCACTAGATAATCCTTCGCTCCTTACCGCTGAGATCTGCTCTACTTCTATGGATGTGGAGGTTAGGTTTTCTACAAACTCAGTTCCACGATCATCATGAGTCCAACTTTCGATGGTTACGGGAAGATACATTTGAGGGGTTTCACTGGTAATTCCATAGACTGCCCTACTATTGTTTTCTAATGGCATATTTATAAAGTCCAGATAACAGATGCTTTCCAGGACTGAACACAAAACTTCAGAACTTTTTGTGGAGACTGTTCTACAGCTTTCTACTGATAACCTATGAGGTTCATTATGTTTAGGTACAGGACTAGTACAGAAGTCATGAGTAAGGTTTTCTTCATTCTGCTGGTAAGTCTGGAAATCAGCAAGTGATGTACTGAATTCATTAACAGGATTTTGTCTGGGTAAATTTTCTTCTCTTGTCTCCAAAATAGATTCAACATTAACCCCTGTTCTCAATGGGATGACAGTATGGACTTTCAACCCATTATACTCATTTGTTTCTTGTGGATGCTCTGTGGCTGATTCAACATCCATGACTTTTAAAGGCTCTAAAAAATCTAACATGCTGGTTTCCGACATCCCAGCTCTGGCCATGACTGTGTCTACATCTGGGCATTCATTGCTCTCAGGTGGAAGACCTTCACTCACTCTGTCATTCCTGTATCCTGCTTTACTAACTGTCCTAGTCCCATCAGCCTTCATACCTTGTACTTCTTCAGTGAGCTTTGGCAGAGTTTCAGCTGTCACCTGAACATTTGCTTGATTTTCTTCTGCATAAAAAAAAAATAAAGCAAATCAGAACCATATACCCAATTTAGAATTCAGCATCTAGCATTCAGCTTCCTAAGTTCCTTTTCATATTGTACATAATACTGTGCACAGGGTGGTTACCAAAAAGTTTTTATAAGTGAGAATTCACAGAATCATGGAATATTAGGAGTTGGA